AAAAACTCCGGAAAGATGGTAATAAGTTGCCAGATATATAATTTATTCAAGTGAGCAAACGTTTTCGGTTATCAACCTTTGTCAAGCTAAAGAAAAACATGAGAATAGCAAAATATAAAGCATATATACTGTATATAACTGTATATATATAGGCCTATACATTTATGGACTATTTTAAGTTTGTACTGTTTTATGTATATTTTTCATGTACCTCCTGAAGAAGAGCTTAAATATTTCTTCCGTTTATGATATGAGGTACATTTCAAAAGGCTCTGGAGGCAATCACGAATTTGAGGAACATAAATATTCTATTGCACAAGTATCTTTCGTCGTGTCCTCCGAGAATTCAATCGAATCGTTCGATTGTGCAATGTTAAATAAATTTAATTTACGTTTTATTAATATTAATGGAACTCACCATAAATCATTGGTTCCCACCAATATGATAAGAGATGGTTCGCCACAAAACTACATAATTGTAAATTCTATACTGTACTGGAAAAAGAGGTCGAAAGGATAAAGAAGATCATTTGAAACTATTGTTTAAAACCACAAAACCTTTGCATAAAATATATGCCCTCAGAAACAATCCCCGAAGCTTAGGTTGTTGACCTATGATCAAACCATGTACCCATGATCAAACAGAGTAGGCCTACAATTTTGCTACCTAATAAAGCAGTGCAATTGCACTGTAAATGACATTTTCACATCGATATGCTGTCATAAAAATTACCAGAATCCAGGGGCTACCTTAATTGCTTTCAATATTATCGAATAGTACAAATTGAATGGAAGGTCGAAATGGATGCCGAATATCAAATATTTATTACCGTATTCATTCGAATAAACGCCTCCCTCGAATAAACGCCCACTCCAAAGCCTCATTTGGAATAAACGCCTCAGTCTTGAACACCGGGGACGCCCCACCTAAATGAGTTTAAACAAAACTATAGCAGCAACAATGAAGCAACATCAATCTCAACACATTATATTAATGTTGTGCTCTAGTACAATTGCATTTTTTCTCACTGTTTGGTATCAGTTATTCTTTATGATCACGCAATATCACATTTTGACAGTAATTATATGTGTGTAGTTCCACATTTACAGTGAAATTAAGGGGGATTTGTTTGAGTACGGTATAGGCATCGTACATATCCATTTTACACCAAAAAACTCTTCTCAGCAATGCGGCCCATTATTTCAAAATATATGGTAGGCCTAAGAAAGTCGTTATAATTCTTGTACGCACCAGCTATTCCTCTTAACATGCCTATTAGAGAGATCATTCATAATTTTCATCTTTTCGCAAAAGTAGAGTAAACTTGTGGGAATGCGGTTGACATTTTGCACTCTTTCGGGGATGTAGGGAGGGGTCACAGAAAAAGTAAGTTTTGTACGCTTGTATAAGTATGAAAATAATGGATGAAAAAACGAATAATTGCAAATTCCACTTTGAAATAATTTGAAATAAAGTTAGTTTGAGATTGATCAGTGTATAAATTTATATATTTGACTTTTACAGCACAGGCCCATATGCAGATGTAAAATAAAATACATAATTATATTATTGTGATGATAACGTTAAAACTATTCGCTCTGATGTTTTTTCAATTATAGTATTGTAAAATCTATTAAAATCTGTATGTTGTTAAAAGAAATAGCTTGACTACTAACACGTTTAACTGCATGACAACGATGATGATAGCATGAGATATCATACGATACTATATGGAATATTATGGTTAAATTTTAATATTTTTTGAAACACTTCAATAATAAAATAATATCCCAAGATGGACCTTCCGCTAACCCCGCCCCTTGGATATTGGGGCAAGGTCCCAGAAAACGACGATGTAAAACAGGCAAACACATGCGTTTGCGGGACGCGATTTTTTTTCCGTACGAAAACATTTGCATGAAACTCCACTCGGGCCGTTTCGGATTGACTCGACTCGAGTTTGTTAAGAGCAGGCACTTCACAATGTCGTGTCGTGACGCTCGAGTGTTCTCCATAGTGTATTGTTCTTTGTTTAGCTACGGAAGGCCTATTAAATCTTACCGATTTATGTAATGTCTGTGACTTAAACAACAACAGCTAGTACCACCACCACCACCAGTAGTATAGGTACCATCAATTAAGGCTAGAGCAAAAGAGGCTAATTACAGGCTGAGTTAGGCCCTACCTAATAGGCCCCTCCCTAGACTATGCCCCTAGCTAAGCTAGGGTCCAGGGCCTGTACACAACAGTCACACTTCACATGACATTGACTGAAATTTTGAAAAAAAATTGAAACAAATTTGAAACATGAAATTAAAATGGGACAGTGCGTAAGAAAAATATTATTAAATAATAAAATGAAATATATCATTCCAGCATTTATGAACTTGGCCTAAGCCTTGTAATGTAATTAATAATAATAATAATAACAATAATAATAATATTAATAACGATTAATAATAATAAATAATATTAAAAATAAATAATAATTAAATAAAATATATGATTTCGCCAATAATAATAATAATAATAATAATAATAATAATATTAATAACGATTAATAATAATAAATAATATTAAAATAAATAATAATAAAAATAATAATTAAATAAAAATATATAATTTCGCCATTAATTAAACTTGGCTTAAGCCTTGTAATCAAGAAGTACTTACAGTACAATACTATTTACAAGGCCAATTAAAGATGTATTATCCCTTGCTAATGTCAAAAAATCATAAAAAAATAATTTTGAAATAAACTTGCTTATATTGCAATAGCATACACATTATTAACTTGTGCATAAAAATTATTGAATTTAAAAATGTGTACCCTGATTTTTAAACCAAAAAATTATAATAAAAATAATAAAACACTTCCAGTGACTGGAAGTGTTTTTATCATTTTTAGCTGTGAACTGATGTGTAGACATTTTTTAAATACACTAATTTCTATGTTCAAGTTGATAACTTTTATGTTACTAATACTTCAAAATGGGCAAATTAATTTGAAAAAAATATTTTTATGATTTTTTTGGTGTTTAACATGGGTCAATACATCTTTAACAGCTAGGCCTCATTAATTCATTGGTGCTCTGCTATTTTGGCAGGTCCTATGATGACATCCTTATTTTAGAGCTGTCTATTCTCAGCTTTTCTTTTAATGTCAAAATAACTGTCACCCTGTTCCATTTGATCAATTAAATGTTGTTCTTTTCCTTCCTCTTTGTGCTTTTCTCTGAAAGCCGCCTTCTAAAACTTTTTTGAGTAAGTGATCACATTGTACATGACCGATTCCCTGCCTATGCATAATCTAGGCCTGGTACTTATAATTATCCAAAACCTAGGCCAACTAAAAAACAAAAATGTTCCCATGTAACTCAAGTTCAAATAACAATTTTGTTATTCGTGCAGCTAAATCAAATATTACATTTGTCATTTTAAACGACCCATTAGTTTCAACGTCAATTGCTTAACAATGGGCTGAAAGCTTCAAAGGAGCTTTCTTTGTTTTTGTAGGTAATACTCTGATCAGTAGGGTAAGGATGCTTTTATCTTTAGTTTATTCATAACTATGTCATCTACTAAATGTTTTGATTGGTCAAACACTTTTGGTACTTGTGCATATAAGCTTGCAAATACGGATAATTTTTCATTCCTGACGATGACATAATTAATGTCGAAATATTGAATCCCGACACGATGGCGTGCATTTCGATACTTGGAGTATGTAGGCCTATTTACTATCTCAACGCGTCAATGTGTTCTTCAAAATCAGACAGCGGGCGAGCGACAATGCTGTATCATTCTCAGAAGTTTTGTAGTCGTCTGTCTGCCTTTGGTTGATGACCTTTTGACCTCCAGAATTGAGATTTTCGAGTCGAGTCAGTCGAGACAGCCCGAGTGGAATGTTTCGTACGGGGAAAAAATCGCCTGCGGCACAACACGTGTGTTTTAGGACATGCGCGTATCCCTGACTCTGTTCTGATTGGTCATTTGTTTGTTAGATTGACACTCCAGAAAGGTCTATTCTGCCCGGGAAAAAAATCGCCTGCGGCACAACACGTGTGTTTTAGGACATGCGCGTATCCCTGACTCTGTTCTGATTGGTCATTTGTTTGTTAGATTGACACTCCAGAAAGGTCTATTCTGCCCGGGTGAGGGAAGCGAAATCTATCACATCGGCACAATGAACAACATTCTAATCCATTGTAAAAAAACAGGTAACGTACGGAAATATATTACTAGTTAGTTTTCGCCGCCCGACGTTAACCTTAACATTTACGTTTGTACCCAACATGCAGCGCGATAGCTCCGCCCTCTTGTAAACAAATCTAAATACGCATGCACAAACCCATAAATAACGTACGTCAAGCACGTAAAATCCGAAAATTAACGTACTCCGCAACGCAAGATGAATAAATTATGATGTCATCCGTTAACGTTAAGGTTAACGTCGTGCGGCGAAAACTGCCTAATGTATGGAAGCAACCGTATCTTGCTCAAGAACACCATCTGAGAGAAATGCAAAAGGTCAGGTTCGAACCCCAACTCATCAGTGGCGTGGGTGGAAAAAAGGAAACTAGTCCCCTCCCCGGCAGGAGCCAAAAAATCACTAAAATGTAAAATCATTTAGTTATAAAAATTTCTGAACCCCCAGGCTTTAAGGGACCCATCTGGACCAGTCTCAGTGGCGGATCCAGGAATTAGTAATAGAGGGTGCCCAGCGAGGGACTTTCACAGATGGAGAGTCTATACTTTAGGCCCATCATGGTTGGGGCTGATAGAAGAAAATTTATGATTATGGCACAGGCCGGAAATGGCACTCTTAGACTCAAAATTTAGGTATAATTTTCTCTTTTTTTCTCACTTTTTTTTCATTGTGAAAAATTTAGAGGGACCCGGGCCGGCTTCCACTCCTCTTGAATGCGCCACTGAATCTTGACACCCACAAGGGATCAACACAGAACCTTCCTTCTCTTAACCAAGGTTAATTCCGCCCCACTCGGACCATAGTCTCGACTGCCACTCGAACCATTCCGAAAAAAAAAACAAGAAACAACCATTCAATATAATATATATGAATCAATTCATAATATGCGTACACAACGGTGTTTAAAGTTATAAGCTCAAAATACTAGTTTACGATCGAGGACGTTATGCTATACCTCTATAAAATTGTCCTCGCCAAAATTGTATTGAATTCCATTGAACTGTTGGAGAATGGGATAATGATCAACATTATTTTACCTCCTTGAAAATCTTATCGGCTATTATTATATTTACAATAAAAAGTCACATTAAAAGTTCACAGACATATAGGCCTATGGGCTGCACAGATAGCAAACTAAGTTCTACAATGCATATACGGTAGTTAATCTTTACTAAGTGTCCATTTTTCATTAAACCACACGATTACAAGTAAAGACCTACTCAATATAGCCTGATAAGTTAACCGTGACGTCATTTTACCTTCTTTTCATTCGCTATGGCCTGTCGCTATCCCTCTGAACGGGAAGTAGTTTGTTGTTTGATGTTTCCTAAAGGTTAGTTTAAACTATATAAATATAACCTTTGGTGATTTGATAGCTAAGTAATTAGTAGTTAGTAATTAAAACAGTTTTATATAGGTATCTGTTAATTAAATAGGCCGAATATAAATGGTAGGCCTATACAGATCGATGTTATGTGAATCCCAATCGAAAAAACTCTTCGCTTTATTGGGTAAAATTCTAAAAATAACATTATACTTTATTAATTTTGTTGCTTATTTATTTTTTTTGTAACTTTGTAATTAACTTTGTAATTTTATGTTCAAATGGTTTTCCGAAAAAACTCATTCAAATGAAATACAGTAAAGTTTCCTCAGAACTTATTGCTGTATCCACCGCCGCGCCCTCTATAGCATAAATATCAAGAGAAGACCTTGATCTCGCGCGCTTCATCGGTGATTTGGATCGTTTCCAACATTTGGTGAACAAAACCCAGTACTGTACCTTTCATTGAAAAATTCAAGGTCAAAATCATGGCAACGGAGCCGAAATTTCGTTTCGTTAGCGGCCACATTTTGGTCTCTGACCAAGTTTAATACGGTATTTGAATGTCCAAAAGTGTATATGTTTAGGCCTAATTTATGTCATGAGTAAAACATCGTCAGCAGCTCAGTTTGTTGAGAAGAATCGGAGCCTCAACACGCGTTTTATTCTATTCTATACCTTATAAAGTACAATTCAGATAACATTCGTTCAGGGGAAAGCATGAACGAAACAAATGACTCATTTAATTATACTAAGTTATGAAATTATACTATTTCCACTATACAATCATTCACTTATGTTTGTTTTTACTTATAGGCCTAAAGACGGATGCTGTAGATATATATTACTGTTTTAACACGATTTTAATGCTTGTATTGTGATAAAATTCATCAATAATACTATTACAATTACTGTTTTAACACGATTTTAATGCTTGTATTGTGATAAAATTCATCAATAATGCTATTACAATTATATTTAATCACATCCAATACCAAATACTTCGCGGAAATGTGTTAATTATTAATTGTTTAGTGTATTGAGTGATGTTACTGTAGAAATGACCTGGTAGCCGTACTGTATTATGCCATCATGGAAAACTACTACACTGTTGACCTATCCACTATAACAGTAGCAGTAGGAGCACACCCTTGGTAGAACACAAAACAAAGAGGAGCTACGGTCAAAAGTACATTACATTAATATTACATAACTTATTACTATCTATATTTTACTAAGATACATTAATAAATAATTACGCAATATATTAGCTATGGTTAAAATTCAGTACTATTATCACTGTTTTTATGCTTATATTTTATTAAAACACAACCATGTCTTCCCTAAAATTGAAAATGGAATATGATAAAACGTGTGGGGGTGTTTACGTTAAGAGGGCGGGCTATTAGTAAAGCACGCGCTGCAAATCTTCATTCATAATTATTCTCTTTGTTTTCCTGGGCACTGATGCTTGGTCATCCTTTGCTATCTCCAAAATAATTGCAAATACTTGCTTATATTATTCAGTGATCCTGCTTTTAATGCCAAAATCGAACTTGCCAGTTTTCGAACCAGTGTGCTTTGTTCTTATATATTCAGAGTATAGTTGATTTATTTATTGAATTCATCCAGACGAAATGGAGAAGGAAACAAAGTACAGCAAAGTGAGTCGGGATGAGGAAGACATTCCCCGAATGCCGAATTATGATGCTAGGCCTACTACTATCGCCACTGCCGGTGATGTTGATAAACCAGCACAACCCAAGCTGAATGAACGTGGGACTTGGTCCGGAAAACTCGATTTCGTTCTTGCATTAATTGGGTTTTCTGTTGGACTTGGAAATGTATGGCGGTTTCCATATTTATGTTACAAAAACGGTGGAGGTAAGCATTTAAAATGAATTATTCTGTGTGAACGTTGTTGGTTATAATGTTATTTCTAATTTCAGATTATATTATTATTATTATTATTATTATTATTATTATTATTATTATTATTATTATTATTATTATATGTTTTGTATTGTAAGTGTTTATTTTGCCAACTAAAACTAATTAATCATTTAATAACTACACTGTGCCTAGTAGGCTAGGCCTCCTAGTCTAGCAAAGTCCCATCATATATAATTAGTATCCAAAATTATTAATTACCTTGAAATAATGCGAGATAAATGCAATGAATGCATCAGTGGAGCAGTTAGTTCCTGAATAATAAATAATGAATTAATGATTAATTTATATAGTTTGTGTTGTAGGCCCACCTAGTATACTACATACATGCAATTAAATAATGTAAAATAATGACATTAACATTTATTTTATTTATGCATTTATTTTATTTATATTTATAAAATTATAATTAATATTTATAATAATATTCAAAGATTGAACCAATGAAGAAATCATTATTATCCAGTCCTGCCTATGTGTTTCTAATCGAAAATATAACTTGATTAAACTGATATTTGTTGCTGATGTTTTAAGCTTAAAAAATGTTTGACAGTTGATTGTATGGTGAAAACATAGATTGTTTTACCTAAAATGTGGTAAAATAATATTTAATACAGTACCTGCTGACAAAAACAAATTTTTTTCGAGAATATGATATAAGACTTTTCTCAGATGCTTATTACAATCGGTTTATTGTCCACCACCAGAAAAATAGCAACTTGAATGGTTTAATTTTTAACAGTCCCTACAGACATGTCTATGCTAGGGTTTTTTAGCAAAAAAATGTTTGGTATTTTAATAAGTATTATTGGATCATGGTTATTCTGAGTGGGTGAATCATTCATTGTTAAGTGACTCTCTGATGAACTACAGTATCAATGCATTTGCCCTGGTATCTTTCAGACCTATTTTATTGAAGAATCACATTTATTGTCAGAACAAATGTATACAATTTTGTCGGGGGTACCAAACATTTTCCCCAGGGTAGCATACCATTTCTCCAGGGTAACTCCCTTAATAACAGGTAGAGTCACCCAATCTTTCACACCTGCCTCACAGATACTTGTTTGTCATTGCTGGTTGGTTAGTGTTCATAAAATTTTCCTTCATGTACCGTAAATTCATATGCTAATGTTTTCACACGTGGCAATCATAGAACAAGGTTTAAAATTTAATAAGCCCTCTTTACGTATCAGTGCATTGTATGTTTAGGAAACATTGTGTGTGCATTGTGTAATGCTACAGTATATTGTTTGCAGGCTTTTCAGTAGGTTTTTGGAGGTTTGCAGGGTTTAGCAGTACCCGTAATGCCTGTAAATTGGTCCACTGTAGATTCACTGTCAGGGTTGTAGCTAGAAAACTCTAAATAATAATAGGAGTGGATTGTAAAGATGGACAAGCGGGTTAATAAAAATGAATGCAGGGCCATGAAATTAGCTTTAGGCTGGGTGGGAAACTTCAGGGCAAATGTTTCCCCACCCACCATAACTGCTGTACGTCAATGAGATTGTATCTGCATTCATTGCCAAGGACATTATAAATGGTTCTAAAGTGATTCGTACATACTGTTGCCCATGTTTTCCCTACTTGGGTCTATTAATTCAATCATCCATTCAATGTCTAAATCTGTTCCAAGCCAACCTGAGCAAAATTTTTAGGATCAATAGCATGTTTTGTTCAGGGATTACCTGTATGTAATTCTATGACAATGTTGGCGCAAAAAGTATTCAGAACAACTGAGGCTTTGTGTTAGAACAAGATAAACAAGAAGGTATTGTTTGCTGTACTGTAGGGCCGCCCTCTTGAATGTGTGTGCAGTAGTAATTTTACTATAAATTAATAGTAGATTCGAGTGTTCAACCTTTCTCTTGACTTCCTGTAATTGGCCATACTTGTGCTGTAAAGAGATAATGAAAAATAGCTATATGTTCATCATTTTACTTACTAATTGGTCGTGGTTTACTTGAAAAATAGAATATGATTTTATATTTAACAAGTTTTGCAAATTGGCCTAGTAGAGTACAGTAGTAGTAGGCTAGGGGCCTAGGCTTACAGTGTTTTATTCTATTTTGAGACACAAGTGAGCAAATGCAAAAAGATCTACTTTAGGAATCATTCAATTATTTTATATGCTTCGAGTAGAGATCGTTATCAAATTAATGTCTTCAGTGCAAAAAATTATATCGACACCTCAAAATTGATGTGTGTACCACCCAATTACGCCTACTTGGCAGTGTTACACTATAGTGTAAATGGCTTATTTTGAAACAAGGCTGACTTTGCGTGCTGTTTGGGATGGTGTGATTTAAAGAAATAAATTGCCTAGAACAGAGGCTATATCTTGCCGATTAAAATTTCATCTGGTTTCACGATAAATATTAAATATATCTTATACCAAGAAACAAATTTGAACTTACCAGTGCTGCATAGATAATCAATCTAGGCCTACGGCATTGAAATCATCTTCTGATATTTTTTATTGGAAACAGTTGACTCAGCATGCCTGTTAAAGTCATTAAAAGGAAGAGCTTGTCATCCTTGTTTGAAAATGTCCAGTATATAGTGTCCGAATTTCGTAATTTCCAACACATTTTGATATTTCGTAATGTACAGTAATCATGGAACAGTCGATGTGTACAAGGTTAGGTGTTGTTGCATTTTATGCACATGATTGATCAACTGAATCTATAGAGTGAGCTTTAATTCTTTCCTACACTGTTTCTCAAAAGGATGGTTAATGGCAAAATACCAGTATTGCCCATAGAATTTGATATTTTATATGAATTAAACTACGTGTAAGCTCTGTTTACACTATAAAATTTCAGTGATTTACCCATTATCATATTATGTGCATTAACAGTACATGGGCAAATCACGCATGTAACTTAAGATTTGTCTATATTTGGGTACATGTGATCGCTGAATATATTTGTCACAAAAAAAAACAATTACAGTATTGAAGGACAAAAACTGTATATTGATTATTTTGCGCCAATTTATCTGGTAGTTATGTTTTAGTTAAATACATCTCAGTTGTTTAAAGGAATGGGATCCCCAGCCAGAAGCTGTAGTGGTTAAGAGGCTTGCATTTTGGGGCCCTGGGTTTAAGTCTTCTAATTTTAAGTATATATTAAAACTGAGTGTCATAAAGAAACTTGTTTGATACCACCGTCAGTGGTGAGTGTACCATTGTTACATGTACAATAGGGACAAAGATAAATTTAGCATAGTATCATCAAAATTACAACGTGTCATGAGTCAGATAATGAACTCCAAGCTATTAAATTTATGATGCAAAACAATATAATTTTGAATTGGTGCGTAGCACAAAATTTTGTGCTTGTGGTTTAAAGTGATCACATGTTGATGATGATGATAATGTTATGTACTGTACATCTGCCCGATCAGACCGCATATTAGGGTCCACATCTGTACGAACATAATCAGATAATAGGCTTGTACAGTTAGTATGCCAAATTACAACGTGGTTGTTTGGAAGTTTACAATAGAAATCAGATCTTTAAGAATGTGCTTGTTTTGCCATAAAAAAACATGTCTGTACATACTTAAATAGGTTGCTAAAGAGAGGTTATTTGTAGTGGGATATCATGTTCTTTAAAATTAAATACATAATATCCTTATTTGGAAATGTATATAGCAACCTTTCAAGATGAGGTGTGTACAATTGGCATTTTAATTCACCTCACCTCTAATAGAGGCTCTATTGGTGTTTGATAGATCCTGTATTCATTCATCCATAACCTACAGTACACACTCTTCATTGCACTTTGTGAATGTGTTCCAGAGGGAAACGATGACTGTTTGGAACTTGACACCTACTTACCGGTTTCAAAAAATCATACCATATATAATGACTACATTGACGTACTCTTTGTCGTAGTGAGTGATAACAAGTACCCTTGCTTGGTTTGAAAAAAACTTCAATTTCATTCTTAATCTCATGCCAAATAGTTAATGTCCCCTTCCTTTTTGGGGTTCTTCTCGTTTATGAAAAAAAAAAATCTTTGTAAATCAATTTCTAGGGACTAATTAGCAATAGTGTATTTATAAAATTCAATTATTGCTTCTACAGTACAAACATTCATGAGGTGAACAGCTGTGAAAACTTGCACCCCAACTCTAGCCAGATTACATTTACACTTGCCTAAAGTCGACTGTTAATTTCTAAGTCGATCATATCATGCCAAATTGTTGCGATTTCCATTAATTAACAATCTGC